TGCATGGATGAAAGATCATGGAGGTGTAATTATAAACATCATTGCAGACATGTGGAAGGGCTTCCTAGGATGGCGTGAGTTGTACATTGTAACAATATAATAAAAATATTGCGTTTTACTTCCCATTTTTTGGCTGATAAAATCCTCTCACAATAATGCATTTTGACTTTTTTTTCAACTGCTGGGCTTTTTTATGACAGCCACACAGGAGCTTTTTTAAAAAAGCAATTTAAAAGCATGTACTGTATTTGGATAGTGCTGCCCACTCAGGGAGACATTGAAAAAAAGGGGTTGAATTCCATGTTTGATTTATATTCTTAATTTGCATGTTCCTTTGGTAAATCCACAAAATGAAAATGTAAATTTAAGCAATTTAAATGTGGTAAACTAGCCTTTCCTAAAATGTTTCCATGGCATCAAATAAGTTTTTACTTAATAGCATGTGTTTATTATCTGTAATGTTGTTCTAATTCCACTTAGTCTTATACCACAGAAATGTGTGTTTTGTGTTTTTTGAATGTAGGGAACTATCATCTCCAAAACAGCAATGGAAAACTACAAAGATATTGGCCCGACCATGTTTAAGATGTCAGTGCCATTCAGTCCGGCTAAGAGACTCGGTGTTCCTGAGGAGGTATCTTATAACCTATTATGATGTTGACGTTTCAAAACTATATACAATATTTATAGCTATATGTATGTATATACACTACTGGTCAAAAGTTTGGAATAATTAAGTTTTTTTTTTTTTTATTGTTTTCGAGCCTCTTATGTGAAATTACAAAATTAGTGTTTTAATAACCTGAGATTTAAATATTTACTTTCATTGTGTCAGGTATCGCCAGCTGTATGTTTCTTGCTGTCTCCGGCTGCCAGCTACATTACTGGAGCAACCCTGAAGGTTGATGCAGGACAGAGCCTCTACCACTCTGTGTGGGAAATACCAGGTACCCATTTCCTGGCCAGATGACGGCATAATACATGCTGTTATTTCAAAATCAAGAACGGATGTTGACTCTTACTATTTGAGTATGCAAACTCTTTCTGTTTCACTTTATCTCTTCAATCAGATCACACTGCCTGGCCTCCAGCCCCAGAGGGAGAATATACAGACATATTGAGAGAAATCATGGACATGACCAAATCCAAGCTGTGAATCATAACAAAACAAGTCTAGACTGTCAAACAGCTGCTCTTCCTCACAGTGTGGGTGGACCACAAATGTTTTTTTTTGCTCAGAATTGCAATACATCAT